TCTAACACATTTTAAATTGTAGCCGTCTGTAACCTACGTATTCCTCCTAAACGATTTTTTTATATCTTTGGTCGTTTTCCCATAAAGCTCCGTCCCGTTGAGCGTGAGCCACCCTGTATAATGTCATCAGTTAAGTTAAAATCTCAATTTATACTATTACTACAAACAATAAACTGCTATTATATACTGTTATCACAAACAGTGTACGAAAATATTCGTTTATAATGTCATCAGTGAAGTTAAAATCTTAATAATCTACTATTATTACAAAAAGTAACCTACTTTTATCTACTGTTATCAGAAAAAATGACCTGAAAATATCTACTGTCATTACAGAGAGTAACCTGCTATTATTTACTGTTATCACAAACAGTGTAGGAAAATATTCGATTATAAAGTCATAAGTTAAATTAAAATTTCAATACCTACTTTTATCACAAACAGTAAACGATACAAATTTATTATCAATTACAGTATGTCCAACGATGTCATTATTCATTCAATTATTCAATAAAGGATAAAAATAAAACTGTCGTCAGAAAACGGTCTTGTTATACCTATAAGCAACAGTAGTATAAACATTATCTACTGCAAAAAACAAATACTTCAAGTAACTAAATATCAAGTTTCAATGTATATCTATTTTCATTTAAAAATTTCTTTACCTTAATAAGCCTATAAAAAAAAAGGGCAATAACAACTACTTTCGCAAAGAAATAACTACACACTAGAATTTAAAATGGTAAAGAAGAAACAAACTTTTACCAGTAGGTATCATAAAAAAAACTAAAAATTTTTGTTCAATACCTAACTATGTAGCAGTGAAAAAATCGTAACAATAATACGTATTAATTTTCGGCATTAAAGCAATTACTTACCGTTTTCAATGACACAATAACTTTATTGTTGATATGACGGGAGAATTACTTAACAAAACAAAAAACTTTGTAAATTCAATCGATTAATTCCTGGCTAAATACAACACAATCTTAACGCAGAGAACGCTTATTCGACTTTTTTGTTTTTGAATGTTTATTATTATTAGGTTTAGTCATCGGTACACTTTGGTTTTGAATTTTCTAAGAAATATAATATAGATGTGATCTTTACGACACATAAACAAAGACTGAAGCAAAGTATTGAGATGAGGGGATTGGTGGAGAAGGGAATATATCAAATAGTTCCAGCTTTCAACTATGTGGTCGAATCGAAGCATATACAGGGGGCGACATATATCTTATTTACGAGACGAGGCAGAAATATAATTATATACTTTATTTAGGTACTGCAAAATATATAGGAAAGTATGTAGTTGTAAATAAAAAAATTTACAACGGAGACATATACTGTAGCTTCTTATTTACAAATATTTACTTAGTGACTTGTATTGTAAAAAATAATTTAAATTTACTTATTATGGTTTTCGTAGTTTTTACACTTATAATAAAAATATCAAAGTTATGTGTATTGGCCATTTACTTTACACATCAAATTCATAGACACAATACATCACCATTTGACATTATTATTAAACTCACTCTATTAAAATTGACTACTAAGCGACTATGCAGAGTTGTTTAAAATCAGCCATGAGGTATACTTTATTTATTTATTGGATACTTTATAAACACTATAAAATATTAATAGTAGTTGCATATGTAGAGTTAAGTAACAACAATAAATTTAAAAACAAAACAAAAATTAATAGCTAATAAACTTAATTTAGTACAGTTCTCAACTTTCTTAGATATCTATTTGGACCTTGCTAAGAAACTCATTGGTAACAACCATCATCTTGTTAAAAGGAGATATACTACTTGGATCTACCCTAAATAATTTTTTATTACTTCGGATTTTTAGATTAATCTTTGGCACATTAAAATTTATATAGTTAATCAAATCACATTCTTATCACAGCCTGTTTTCTGTAAAAGAGATTAAAAGCTATCGAGCATAGTTTTATATATCTTATAAGGGTTGTTTTTATGACATAAAGGTATCGTAAAAATATTTTTTGTACTTTTTCAATATCATCAATATGTGTTGCTTCCATATTTGTGGAGCATAGTCTAGATGAGGTCTTACTAAGGCATTATATGATCTGCTTTTGGTGAAAATCCAAAATTTGGTATTTCTGATTTAAAAACTTAAAACTTTCATTGTTTTTTTAGTTATGTGTAAGAAATAGTTATTGAACTTCATATAGACTAATGAAAAATTAAGAAGGTACGGATCCTTACAACTTAAAATAGGCATATGTTTTGTAACATGTGTAACCAAATTATTACCTAGTGTTAAATAGACGGATAAAAAGTGTTGACTTTTATTTTCTATAATAAAAACCTATTAAAAAGATTAGGATCAATAGAACATATTGTAACAAATTTGTCTAGCTACATACATATTTTTTATTATTTATTATTTTTTTAATAAAGAATATAGTTTTTGGTGTATTGACAGGTTTGTTAATACACAACTACTATTTTGTTACAAATATTTACATTTATAATTAATCTAATAGTTGATATAGGTGCTTTAAAAATAATATATTTTGCTGTAATTGTTGAAGTTATACATAAGCAATTTTTCTTGTAGCGTTGTTTACATTTTGCAGAGATCTATTTTATTCTGTTTTTAGTTGATAAATCATGTGCATGTAAAAGGGTTGATTGTAGACAATGTTAATGCTGCTGATGTTATGTATGTTACTGAGGGTGTAGATGTAATACTTAATAATAGTTAATAAAAGGCACCATGTCTCTAGTAGGTATCAGGTTTTATTCTTGACCGCCTTATTATGTTTATCTTACAATTCTCACATTGATGCTACCACCACCTGAAGGACACTGCATGTCGTCGATGTACAGGTAAAGCACGGTTGCCACGCTGACTTATGAATATGAACATATACGTCACGCCCCCTTTATAAATATAAAAAAAAAACAAAGAAAATATATCCTAGAACAAACATAAATTAGAAATCATATCTGAAATGCGCCCTATATAAATATAAAAAAAAAAACTAAAGAGAATTGTGAGAATGTAAACCTATCAGGTGCTCTAATTATTCTACCACTACGAGTAGTAACTAAGCTATTGTTGTTTAGATTATGATTAAAATTATTTTGAAAAATGTCATTGTTTTGTATGAGCTCTGTCTTCACTGCTTGGGTTCCATTTTCAGTACAACAATTATGTTTTATTTCTACACCTGCAGGCATTGATGTTCGAAGGGGTTTGATGTGTTGTCTGTTTCTTCTGTATTCACCTTGGCCAATCTTGACGTTGTAGTCGTTAGGACCAGATTTACTTAGGATAAATCCAGGTTTCCAATGACGAATTTTTTCTTGAACTAAGATTTGTTGTTTATTTTCCAGATCGGTGAGTTTTTTAGTTGATTTATTGTAATATTTTTTCTGCTTTTCCTGAAGCAATTCAAGCTTTTCTTTTCTGTCATCTACTGGAAATTTTGGACGAAGAAGTTGCTGACTTATAGGTACATTTGATCTCAATCTCCTTCCCATTAGTAAATCACAAGGAGAAGGTAGATTTTGCTTAGGTGTTATGTTGTAACTAAGCACAGCCAAAAATGGATCTTTTCCGTCTTACAAGCACTTAGTCAAAAGGCCTTTGACTGTCTGAATTGTCCTTTCAACCATTCCATTTGAACGAGGGTAATAAGGACTTGATGTGGTTAACTTGATATCGTAAGTTTTTGCAAACTTTCTAAATTCAATTGAATCAAACGGAGGTCCATTGTCTGAGTACAATTCTTGTGGCAATCCATTAACAGAAAATATATTTTTCAATGTGGAGATGACGGATGAGCCAGTTCTGTTATTTAATTTATTTACAACCGTAAATTTACTAAAATAGTCTACCACGACTAAAAAATTCTGGCTCTGAAGTGCCATAAAGTCAATACCGATTTTTTGCCACGGCAAATCAGGCACGTCGTGTGGTATTAGAGGTTCTCTAGAATTAGATTTTGAGTATGATTGGCAAATTTTGCATGTCAAAACTAGGTTTTCAATATCAGTTGATCAACTACTGCTGGTTGGAACTCCAAAAAAAAAGAAGGAAGCACAAAGCACTAGAAATGTTTTTATCGCTTATACTCTCATAATTTACAACTATTCAAGTAACTGGCATGCTGGAAATAATTCACGAAAACATATTAAACATAAATCAGTCAATTCTAATGTATTTTCTTATTATAACACACCTTCTTAGCCTGATTACTTCGAGGACTTTATTTATTCCAATGTTCTCTAATAAAAAGAGCAATAACACCTAACCAAAAGATAGAACACACACCAAAATGTAATTGTGGTATTTTTAATCTAAATCCACTTTCAAAATAACAAATTTTCCGTTTACAAAAAGTAATTCGATAAAATGTAAACAAAAGTTTGTAGTTTGTGTACGAAATATGGGTTGCCTGCGCATGGTAGTGAGTTTTTAACCAGATTTATGACAAGTGATAGATTATATCCCGAATACTTTAAGCCCGTATGCACCGTTACGTGTACGGTGCATACGGGCGTTAGCGCAGCAAAATCTGCGCGTCGTTTTCCCGCCCAGAGAGTATTAATACTGCTAGAATACCTATACTGGGGTGGAACGGAATAGCCTACTTTTTCTTTCTGTAATCTATGTGAATATAATAGATAGTATTAATCATATGGTTGCAGAAAAATTATTTTTCAGAATTGTGAGATTGGTTTAACAATAAAGCGTATAATATTGGTAGGAAAAATAATTCAATGAACCGTTTTAATATTTTTGTACATAATGCTAAAGTTGGTGTCATTCGATTTTGGACTTTATACTCTTTTGTAACTTTTAATATGTTCATGTATACTACACTGTATAATCCTGAGTTAGTACCAGTCTTGCTGTGAGTATAATCGGAATATACTGACAGCATTCGTGATATTACTATTGATTACCCAAGCCTCTGGAGCATAAATCAAGAGCCAAATGTTACATAAACTTACCTGCAAAATGTATCTGGAACCGCGGGTGGCTCTCTCTCCACCCTGGTCCCTGTCAACAGTGATACGAAAAAAGACATCGAAGTTGAGTCCCAGCTCTCGGAGTTTATGTAGCGCTTCCGTCCAATCGAACGTCTCTTCCTTCCAATTATATCCCTTGAGGGTGGGCCAACCGCCGATCAACTCAAAAATTTGTTTTATCTTTTCTAATCCCTCTCGGGCGATCGCCGTCTCGTTCAGGCATGCACGATAAAACTTTTTGGCCACGTTGAATGCCTTCGAATCCTCGCTTCGGATTGGTGCTTGTAGCATGTCTCTATACACAAAAGTAAATTAAAAATAAAGCCGTGACTGATAAGTATTTTTTGTACAATTTACGAGAAACTTGTATAATAAAATCTCGGGGTATTCCGATGGTTTTCCGTGATGTTTTTATAAGAGAATTGAAATAGTAATCGATGAACCGTTGTCTGTGCAATGGTCACTTTACGTCCCTATAAATATGTAATAAGTCTAATTAGTTCAAAATACCTCTATAAATTGGTAAAATATTTCGAAAAGACGAACGTCTTTTCTGGCAATTTGAACACAGTATAACGCTTTTCGTATATTTATAATTAAAAATTAGGTACCTATAATAAGCCTTAATAGCTATTTATGAAACCACTTACGAAATGCCTTATTTTATGTAACGAAAGAATATTTGGGGCACGAGCACAGCGAGGTCCCGCAACATGAACTAGTTACATAAAACGGCATTTCGTTAAGTTATTTTTTTTTTAATTTAAACTAGTTTATAAAATTGTGTTTTGGTAAGATATTACTGACATCTAAGCAACCAATATTACTACTTTCTTGTATTGTTAGTTGCCTATGCCTCATTATATTAATAAATGGAATAATTATTTATTCTCAATGATTTGTAGGGTGTTTATGTGGCTTTTTCAAGTTATTAAATTTTCAAAAAGTATGGTATTTTGTCGTCTATCATTTTCTAATTTATTTTTGCTAATTTAGAATGGAAAATAAGGACCAAAACAACATTATTACTAGGTGGTAAGTTTAACCAAATTCTTATTTTCTAAGTCAACCTGCCCTTCTTTGATATAATCTTTTAATGATTTATATTTATTTTGTGTTCTCTTCGCAATTGGTAACATAATGAATTTTTCGAAACCAATTTCATAATGTTCAACATTATGCAGTTGATTACGTAAAGTAAATCATTTTGACACTTGCTGCGATTAGAAAAAATATCACTTTATATGTCAAAATTAGAAAAAAATATATAAAAGTACAATGTATTGTTAGTCCAAAATATAAATTGCAATAATTGCATGTATAATAAAATTAATAAAAAAATATGTGACAATTACAATAAAAGGAGAGTTTTTTATAAAAATTATAGATAACATAAGTGGCTTTTAATAATCTTAATAAAAAATGAAAAAGAATAATTTAATTAAATTTTTCGAAACCAGTGAAAATCATAATACTGCAAAGTATTCAATGGTATACCCATAAAATCATTTATCGCAACTAGTGATGCCGCAAGACAAGACGAGAGAGTGACCTCTCTCATCTCGTCTCGTAGGGCGAGAAAAAACTGTTCTCTCGTCTCGACGAGAAGGCGCTTCTCTCGCTCGAGAGAGCCTTTCTCTCGTCTTGTCTCGTCTAGTTACTCTCGTGATAGAACAATATCAAATTTAAATTTGAAAAATACGAAACATGAAACAACGGTAAAATTTGTAAGACAAAAACAAAGAATTTTTCAAGTAATTTGCGTATTAGTACCCAAATTTGGCAATAAGAAATACTTATGTCTCTCTGTCTGTCCGTCTGTGACATTCGTTTTACAATTGAAATTTGATTAGGCGTTAACTAAAAACGAAAATACTTTGTCTTCTAAATCAGTTGGGGAGGTGGGGAAGAGGTTAAATTGGAAGTTAGAATGTTTCTAATGCAATCATGCGATGTCAAATGAAAGCATTTAGTACTATGGTTTCAAAATGCAAGAAGATAGAGACATAAAACAAAAACGATATGAAATTAGAGAAACAATATGATATTTTTGTTATAATGAGATGCACTTTACTTAAGACGTAAAATAGAAGGCGTTACTATATTTAAATTTTCTAATGGAAAGTAAAGTCATGTAATACTTTATTTGAAAGATATTTTGATTATATTTACGTTCAAACACACAGTTTTATTTATTTTTTTTTAAATTACATTCTTGATAATCCTCGTGTGCCGCGATAATCCTAGAAATGTTAGGTAATGTTAGAAGAGAATTTTTTATTAAGCTTTTTTTGCCAAGAACTTATGAAAAATTTAATACGTCAAGTGGTTTTTAAAACACCTTTGATATTCTTAATTTATTTATTTTAGTAAATACAAGAAGCGTTTCCTTAGCAATAAATAATAATTGTTATCAAAGTTATCAAGAATGTAACTTATTAGTAAATGCCCAGAACATGTCTGTATAAAAACAAAGTACCAGCTACAAAAAATTGCCATTTGTGCAGTGTTAAATCCCTCTAACAGTAAAACATTACCTACATTTATAAAAGATAATGACATTTACTCTGTACTAGCCAAAATGTTTATTATCCATTGTATACTATTGTAAAAAACAGCATTTATAAGGTATTATACCCCCGGTAATGATCCTTTGAGGTTGAAGCGGTAAATAAAAAAAGAATTTAACCTACTTTATGAATTTATTTAATGTAATTTCTCTAAAAACCTAAATCTGTTTACATGAACGCAAAAATATAGAAAATATATTTCAAATGAGGTATCACATGACCTTACTTTCCATTGGAAAATTGAAAGCTAGTATCTCCCTTTATCTTACGTGTCTTAAGTAAAGTGCATCTCGTTGTAACAAAAATATAATATCTCTTGAGTTTTACTTCGTTTTTGTTTCGTCATTATCTTTTTTCATTTAGAAGTTAAAATAGAGGAGGGTACAATTTTTGTCCTCACTGTATATAATACATTCGTTTGTATTACCTTTTCTTTGACAGTTTTTCGAAAAAACGCTTAAACATTTTCAAATTATCTTCAAAAGTAACCTCAGAAAAGCAGAATGGATTAAATATAAGAAATGATTGTATAAATATAGAATAGGTGTGTTATAGTTTTTGACTCGTAATCTATTATGTTAAAATTGTAAATTAGGATAAGAAAGTGAAAATGTCAAATAAGCAAGGAGAAAATTGTTGGAGAGAGCCCGAGAGAACTCGAAAGAAACGAGAAATTCTCGTCGAGAGATGACACTCTCTCGTCCCGTCTCGAATCTGTTTTCGAGAGAAAACGTCTTTCTCGTCTCGTTCGAGACGAGACAAGACGAGAAGACTTCAGTTTTCATTTTAAAATATTTCAGAATGAATTACAATAAATTTTGAATTTTTCAATAGTTTTTCACGAAGATAGTAAACCATTTTTAATCTAATTAATTTGTGACAAATTTCAATTTTCTAAATATAGGTATTGTTATGGTATATTGATTTACTAAAATGATTTTAATTAATTTGCGCGAATTTAGATGTTTTTTTGTTATTTTCTAATAGTTATAAATTAATACCTTACCTTAATATTTATTTATCAACGATAATAATATGATCTTATTAACTTTTTATTTTATTCAAAGATATTAAAATGTTTGAACTTGACAAATAAAACTTGGTATTCTATATTACCAATTATTTTTTAAATCCTCCTAAATATTTTTAATTTTCGACTTTCGCATTTTAGAAAAATAAGTATTTTAGGTTCAAACTATTCCGAATAAATGTCACTGTTGCCAACTAATTCAGAAAAGTTATAGTTAGACAAAACACGTATCTCTTATGAGTCTTTAGTGCGAGATTGTTGAACTTCCTCTAAATTCAGGAAGACAACATCTTAGTCTATCTTAGTTGCAGTACGCAATTCACATGACTCCCTGACTTACAGACACTTTAAATTTCTCATATGGAAAACTTCACCTCCTACTTTATGAAAGAAACAGACGATATCTCAATTCCATTCACCTCAAAAATCCGTAAGTATATGCTCTAGCTATTCCCTCACCTCAACCATGTAAATATTGTTACGCAGCACCCTGTAGCGTGTTGCGGTCATCATAAGTAAAGGTACGAGTAAATGAAGAAGATAGAATATTCCCGAAAAGTCTCAAAATGTCATTCCTTGTCAAAGAAAAGTCCAGATTGTTCGAGAAGGTTCCAGAAGGGGAGGCAAGCTATATAAGGCGACGACTTGATGTCAGAGTTTTAGTTTTATGATAGACGTTAAACGTTAATGTTATCAGTTAAAGTTATTGTCAGTTGAATTGAGTTATTGTAAAAGTTGAGTTCAAATAAATTGTGATACCAAAAACCAGTGTAACAATATAAACACCCAACTACTTTCCTTCAACAAAACAAATACCAACCCCCAATTAATCCGAAATGCGTTCCAAAATATTATTTCTGTCCAGCAATCTACACTGACGCATCTAAAACAAATACGTCAACCACCGCAGCGTTCGTAGCAGATGAAGAAATTCCAACATTTAAATTAAATAACTTAAGCACAATTCTCTTCGGTGAGTTACATGCCATCTACAGATCACTTCTCTATGCCAAAACATCTTCTTCAAATCAATTTGTAATCATTACTGATTCCATTAACTCTCTTTATGTCACATCTCAATTATACTCCAAAAATCCCATAGCCAAACTAATTGATCACAGCGGAAGGAAATTTCTAAAGTATCTTTTCAATTGTGATTTGGGGTGCTAACTTAAGACATTATTGAAACTGTGACTGGTTGTGGTAAATCAATTTATTCGGTGGCCAGCATACAATTTGAGATACAACTAGTGAGTAGCGGGGAGTTTAGCGCAACTACTGCTTTCTTTTTTGGTGTTGGTGTGGTTTTTTACACAATACCTACTGCTGTCACAAAAAAAATATATTGTTATGACAGTTACCAAAGCAACTCTTATATACAGGTTGGTTCCAAAATTAAGGAATTCAATAAGTGACCACTTGAATTACTTTTTATGCGCCAATTAAGATTTTTATCACAGACCTTAGGAGGGGAAAATATTAAAGAAAAATGCAATTTCAGTAAATTTCGACGAGATAAGTATAATAATCAATCGTGTCACTACTTCCTCACCATATTCATCTGCTACTAAAATACTAAAACAGCAAGTGAAGCAGAGAAACTTAAGTTTCTTTAAAAATAATGTTTAAGAAAAAAGGCAATGCCACTTTTTTGTTGATAATTTTTTTTTAAACTGTAATTTAATCGACTAATTTTGTATATTGTTTAAATTTTCATATTATATACTTAATCAAAGAGCAAAGTAAGGTTTTAAAATTATTAAGAAAACTATTCTGAACCAAAAACATATAATAGTTAGTATTCGTGCCCGAAATATAAAGATATAGATACAAATATTTGGATATTATGAGTGATTTTTTATTCTATAAGTAGAACGTAATTTGCTTCAAAATCACTAATAAACTATATTATGTAGTAACAACCTAAACTACATTTTTATTGGTGAAAGATGTCCTACCGTTTTCTCTAATTGCCTAAAAAGTATAAAACAATACAAAGACTGTTTTAACAACAACAACAACAACAACAACAACAACAACAACAACAACAACAACAACAACAACAACAACAACAACAACAACAACAACAACAACAACAACAACAACAACAACAACAACAACAACAACAACAACAACAACAACAACAACAACAACAACAACAACAACAACAACAACAACAACAACAACAACAACAACAACAACAACAACAACAACAACAACAACAACAACAACAACAACAACAACAACAACAACAACAACAACAACAACAACAACAACAACAACAACAACAACAACAACAACAACAACAACAACAACAACAACAACAACAACAACAACAACAACAACAACAACAACAACAACAACAACAACAACAACAACAACAACAACAACAACAACAACAACAACAACAACAACAACAACAACAACTACAACAACAACAACAACAACAACAATAACAACAACAATAACAACAAAAATAACAACAACAATAACAACAACAATAACAACAACAATAACAACAACAATAACAACAACAAGAACAATAACAATAACAACAACAATAACAACAACAACAGCAACAACAACAACAACAACAACAACAACAACAACAACAACAACAACAACAACAACAAAAATATATACCTTTAATTAAACAAACAATATGTCAATACAATTAAAAAAAAATCCAAAAAATGTGTTTTTACTAGAACAGAGAATAAAATAATCTTACAAAATAATTAAAAAAAGTGGGCACCTAATAACATTGACGATAGGTTTTTATAATATATATTATACAAATCACAAAGAACTACGCAAAATTATATTATTAATAATTTAAGCAATAAAAAAGTACAATGATGACATTAAAAGTTGATTTTCTCAAAAATACTTTTTTAAATTGTCCCAGTACCTGCCTATTATTGTTCTAGCACAATCATATAATAATATGAATGTGCTTTGTGTCTTATATTTTAGGAATAAAATAATATATTTTTTTGCAGGTTTCTGTTAACAACGATTCCAAGAACTTTTGAGAATATTATTAAAACGGCCATCCCAAATATAATTCTCAATTAGGAGCTTTTGATCAACCATTAAATTTTTATTCTTCAAAAGTTACAGCTACCTAAGAAGAAAGAGACTTACCTCTTACCAGACACAAAATATCAAGATGGTTCTCCTGGTTTTCATAATGAAATTCTCCTCGAAACTACTAAAAGAAAAGTGGCAGAAGCAACCGACGAAGGCAAAAAAGTCTTTTGCAAAACAAAAACAAGAAATTTGTTTAAGAATCTAAGTAGTGTTTGAAGTGTTACTGTTAAACATTTTTGATAACATTTTAAGATTATGAAGTTCTATATGTATTTTCCTCTTTGATAACATATGTATAAATTTTTATTAGAACGCTACAATATGGATCCTCTTTTGCTGTTTATACTATTTAATTTTAATCGTAAGTGACCAATCTATTCTTACTTTGTTTCTATTATAATAATCAAGGATTACTGTATTACAGGCCTGAAGATGTCCCTGTGAGGACAAAACTAGTCGCTCCTGTATTTATTTATATTAAAATTGATGTATTGATTTTAAGGTTTTATTCTTTATTATATTCGCGTATCCCAAATTACAAAAAACTTTTTCAGTGTATTCTCAATTGATATTATTTGTTTCGACAAAAATAGACGGATGCTAGACACGATGTGACCAGCAAAACATGCACTTGAATTGATCAGATGGTGTCGAGGCATCTTAAACATTATTTTGAGCAGAGTAAAATGGGAACCGTCAATCGTGCAGTTTTTGGTATACATTTTTCAACAAGTTCAACAAAAGAGTAGGATACATTGATATTTAGAGTGAGATACATAGAAGCCGGAAGCGGAATGATTTTGGGTTTTTCTTTCACCTATTTTAAATTTAATTAGATCATCAATAAAATCGATGGCTTTAGCGCATAAAATCTTCATTTAGCGCAAAAACTTGATCCATCGATGTTAAAATATACACCTATTTACTAAATTTATTTTTCAACTTACTTCAGTTGTAGTAAAATCTCCTCCTTTGTAATATCTTCAACAGAACGTGAGCCCTTCTGTTGGCCTTGTGTATTTTGTATATTTGTATTCTGCAAGAAACTACCACAGGAGAATCGATAGAAATCGTCACATGGATCTGTTCGGGTGTCGATGTATTTCCTGATTTCTGCAGCGGTGCGTACGCATTGACTGGTTGTGCAGGTTTCTACTTTAACTGAAGAAAGAAACAATAACAATTTTTTAGTATCATGAAATTTGCAGGGGTCAAAAATAATAAATACGGTATTTGTGAGATATATTTAATATGAAACTGTTAATAAAGATAATGTAAAAAATTAATAAAACTGAAAAATAATGGAAAAATAGCGTCAAACTACAATAGAAAACTAGGAGTGGTATCTTCGCAAATTGTGACTATTTAAATGGGGACATTTTTGCTGAAACTGTGAACTAGTATAATTTAATTATTATAGTCTTCACAGGGTAGACTAGGAAGCGTTAGAGTAAAATTGTTTGTTTACAAAAATCCAAGAAAGTCTGCTGAAGATATCAAGTAAATATGGCCTTTTGCCTAAAAGAAACTTAAACATAATTGTTTTAAAATATTTGTAGATAATATGTTTACCTTTTCAACTGTCAAAAAATTTCCACTTAAATATCGTGGCGCCTCGAAAAAATTTCCGGAATTTTTTTTAATTGCCATGGTAACTAGTCAAAATTAAGGGATACTTTCGGTTGAAAAGTAGAGGTGTGAAATTTTCGCCAAAAATCTGCAACACTTTACAATTTCTTTGTTTGAACTCCTAAGAAAACTCGACAAAAAACACAGAAAATTACTTTATAGACAATACTTTAAAAACTACGAATTACTAATAACTATGCAGAATATTGAACAATATTCTTGAAATTAGTGTCAATATTATTGTCATATGAATAGTGCACGGAAAAGGAAACTTATTACTTTACAAAAACTTTTCGAAAAATTTACACTAAAGAATTACAACTAATGAACAACTTTCATACAAAAAATATTAAAAGGTAAAAAAATGTAATCCAAATTTCCTTTTATATAATCTTTTTCCCGCTGATTTCTGACAATACTTGCATCATGTATCATTACACCGGAAAGCGAAAGGAACAATTTAAGCCTTTGAATAAATTTGCAAGCTTCATTAGAAAATCATACTTTGATTCCATGCATTTACCAAGTCATGTATACCGTACCTAATTGAATTACCATCAGAGAGTTTTGCTCCATTGAACTATATTAAATCAAGCGTTTAATAACGTAAGGGCTTAGGCTAATTTCAGATGGGAAACAGAATGGGGCTAGACGGCATAGTCAAGAACAGTTCCTTCCTTGGTTGAGTTGCATTCATATTATTCAATAGGAAATATCGTTTCAACGAATATAGAATAAGAATGGAGTAAAGGAGAACCGCGATGCTCCATGTGCGGTTAAACGGATTAGGAAATATCTCAGAAACTACGATCATATACACACAATAAATAGAGATTTTATTTGAATTGAAACCTGTTCCGAAAGTAATCCATAAGACAGCTGCAATTTCATTTACATCTCCTTCGAGTAAACACATACATTTCAGATTTGTATCAGAGAGCTTAAATATAACTTTGTTGGCAAACTAGAATGAAACGTTTGGCACAGACATCTCATATAAACTTCTTAAAAATGCATGTAAACACCATTATCAAAATATTACATAAAGTTAATCAAGTTGCTACTTTTTAGAAAAAAAAACTAAACTTTTGTTTGAAGAGGTTGAGTGGTGTGTACACACTGGGTAATAAGAAATGAATGTGACGTATTTAAAGTGTGTAGGTAGTTTTATTAATATTAATAAAACTCAGCAAAAGTAGTCTTAGCGCTTTCAGCCGGTTAGGCCATCATCAGAGACTTTGTCAGTAAATATAGAAGGTACATGAAAATTAATTATTTAAAATTTTATTTATTAGATTCAAAGGGCTGCCACAATACGGTCCCTGGTTCTCAACCATAACTTGAGGCTTGAAACGAAGCAAAACCAATCCTAACAGGTGGTTGAAAATTGAAAAGAAACGTGGGGGCTCATCCCAACACGTGTAAATAAACTGTCTCAACCTTTCCAAGGAAGAGAGATGGAAAAAACTGAACTTCGGCTTGAAGCCAGCTGCCCTTTCAAAATAGCTACCGTGAGGCGGAGGCAAGTTGGGGCACAGGTAATCGTACATTCTACTTCTTACGATTACCTGTGCCCCAACTTGCCTCCGCCTCACGGTAGCTATTTTGAAAGGGCAGCTGGCTTCAAGCCGAAGTTCAGTTTTTTCCATCTCTCTTCCTTGGAAAGGTTGAGACAGTTTATTTACACGTGTTGGGATGAGCCCCCACGTTTCTTTTCAATTTTCAACCACCTGTTAGGATTGGTTTTGCTTCGTTTCAAGCCTCAAGTTATGGTTGAGAACCAGGGACCGTATTGTGGCAGCCCTTTGAATCTAATAAATAAAATTTTAAATAATTAATTTTCATGTACCTTCTATATTTACTGACAAAGTCTCTGATGATGGCCTAACCGGCTGAAAGCGCTAAGACTACTTTTACTGAGTTTTATTAATATTAATAAAACTACCTACACACTTTAAATACGTCACATTCATTTCTTAAACTTTTGTTTGCTTGTTTAGTAAATTGTTATTTTTTTTACTTACATAATATTGTTAAAGGCCGTAAAGTATAAGAAAAGTGCCATTATACTTACAAAAGACTACTTTATTTTGTAAGACGTTTTGTTCCACTATATAAAGACACTAAACTAAAAGGACGTAAAATCATTTAACGTCCTACTAGTCTAGCTTTATGTAGAAATTTTAGCACACATGTACACTAAACATGTAGAAGTGTTTATTAACGGCTCTTTAGCATATTTTCTACTAATTAATATCACTACTGATTTTAATTATAACAAAAAAGTTGTTGATAATACTTTAGAAAGACGCAAAATGTGAAACATCTTCATGTTACGACCTTTTAAGTTATGATTTAAAAATTAAATTTATTACTTATTTTAATTGAACGCAGTTTGTCAAAAATTATAAAATTAAGAACTCGATTAATTCACATTTTTTATTAAAAATAAGAAGGAACAGCTGTTTATCAAATTAAAGGTTAAATCTCTGGTAACAAAATTAAAATAAAATTCAGTTTTTATTATTATTATTCTAAACAGGCACTAAATCTAAAAACACTAATTAAACAATAGAAACATAAAATATATCGTTAATCTTAGTTTTCATTACGAAAATTATCGTTGGCAGTAATACTTAAAGAATCCCAAAAACGACGTTTATGAAGAGGAATCAGATTTGATAATTTATCTAGTATATTTTTTTCTTTCTTCGCCTATACCCTTTGGGATAGTTCCATAAGTAATTGGCGGCAAATTAATATTTTTTATAAATGTATCCTTTAAGAAGCACAGTTTAGTGTCTTTACAATTATTTTTATAAAATAAATTAAAACTACCCCTTCGAAAGGAAGCCTGAGTTATTTTGTGAATATAGGCCATTGGATTTGCACTTTAAATTCTTCTTGGTGATGTGTAATCATAAAATTTTATAAAGTTTATTATAAGCATATCTTTTATAATTATCTTGTAGAAATTTGCGGAGGTAACTGTTTCAACAAAGTCTTGAAAATTGTAAATTTTTCCTTTTTTTTTTTCATAGCTAATTCCACTTGATGGTGAACGTGATCGCAGCTCATAAAGGAATCACCGGGTTCAAAATATTTTGATACAGTTTTTTTCAGCACATATTTCGGTCGAGTTCACTAAATAAGAGATATAGGAGAATAACAGCCAATTTTTATTTTGACCTGTGCAGTTGTTCAGCCAAAAGTCAATATATTTTGCATCTCGTTATTATAAGAAGAAAATATGGTAGCGCTTATTATATCCTCTTGTTTTCTTCCGGCAAGGGAATCATGCCACAAAATGGTGATTGGTTTCTTAGCTGATTTCCCTAGGGGAACGAAGGTTTCATTATACGCTACAACTTTTGGACATAAAACCACTTTTTTAAAGGTGTCTATTCAGGGCAACATTATGACTTTTGCTAAGTCAGTAGAAAAATAAATATATCATCCTCAGTTAGCTTTTTATGTTCTGCATAAAGTTGCCTGGCTTTTACAACTCGCAACTTATGTTTCTTTCAACTGGTGTAAAACTCCGCATTCATCGTTAATGTTTTCTTCATCGTGAGACTCGCTCTTGCAGTGAATGTGAAATGCATCACATCGCATCGCATCATTCGCATTAATAATTTATCAGTCTTGCAAAAGATATATTCATAGTTTTCAATTGCTTTCTTTACAGATCGTATAAGAAATTTTAATTTCGGGATGTTTCTGACAAAAATCTTCGTACATGGATTTTATATTAATATCGCTAGGTAAATAACGGCTTAATGAAGCATGTTTCCAGCGATAGTGAAACACATTTAGGTGAAAAGATTCTATATGAAATATTAATATATATGTTCCGTTAACTATGACTGTTTTCACGTGCTTACCACGTTTTTCAATTATGTCGGTTAGATTTGGCTCTGCTAAAGAACTATAAACAACTTTATCATTCGATTTTTTAAAATTCAAAATATTTTGCACACCTCAAACTTATTTTCGGAATTTGTTTAAAAAAAAATATGTTCTTCTAACATGTCTTTTATTTTTTGTTTGAATTTTTCTCTTTCTAAATAAATATTCTCCATTCTCTTTATGACATTTTCCAGTAATGTTTATTTATTTCGTTCCTTTCCACTTCTGAAAAATTAGTTAAATATTTTTAATGCATTTTTCGTCACACTCCGTTTTGATGAAATATTTAGACCGTAAAAGATTTTCCTTGTTTCTAGTACTCTCTTTGAGACTCACAGGATATTTTCTTGTTTTGCGTAGAGCTCCGGATTTGGTAAACTGAGTTGGTTCTATTATATTATCATTTGTTTCTAGTAGTACAGTTTCATTAATTGGTGCAGTGGAATGTGTATCCTGTGCTTCATCCGATTCGTTAAGAGATGTCTCATGGTCAGAACTCTCGGAAGAAGTTTTTGGAATATATTCTGTATCGTCCACTGAATCATCAGAATCAAAGTCTAATATTGACAAAGAAGATTTAAAGTCAGCTGGTAAAATTATTGTTCTATTGGTTAATGGAGCAG